CAAACCAAATCATTGAGACTTCTATGTAGGATTGAAAATATGAATTGATGGCTATGCTAAAGACACATAAAATGAATACTGTATTTGAGTAACAATAAGAAAACTTTCGTTGGGCATGTTTTTGGCTGTTTGTTTGGGTTTTCGCGCAAAGCTACACGAGGGCTATCTGAGCTAGACGTCCCTAATTTAGCGGTGTAAGACTAAAGAGAAGGCAGCTAGTCATCACCACCCACTGCCAATTCTTGGACTACTCGTTTACCAACGAATAGTGGGATTGACCGTCACATTATAACGCCTCCACGGCTGAAAGGGCGAGCATGTTTGGTGTGATGGGGATTCGAACCCGCGTACCACAAATTGCGAGTCGAGCGCCCTAACCACCTGGCCATGACGGGCGCATGTTTTTGGTTGAGACTTTCTTGGTACTGGGAAGTTTGTAGCACTATACTGTACTTGAGTAACAGTGAGACAACTTTCGTAGTGCATGTTTTTGTTTATTGAAAAAACTTTATGGTATGTGCAACTAGCAGTGAATTATTTTTTATCGCAAGTGGTTCGAATGGCTTTTTTCTGTTCCTTATTATTTTGCAATATTTATAATCCACAAGCCAGTTTGTCTACGAGATCGGGGAGTGGGGTGTTTTTCTTAGACTGCTACGTTTTCTCAGTAAGTTGACTGTCTTACTTCGGGTCGAAAAATGGAGATTGCTAATATTTTCACAACAGCTTTAGAATTTACAAGTCGCAGTGTTCAATACTTACCAGCTTACCACCACGATAAAGGAAACCTAAAATAATTGAAGTTGATATGGATTAAACTTTGAACGTTTTGGTCATACATTAGCCAAAAGAGCGTCACACTTAAATGCTTTGGTAATAAGTGTTTTAAAAACAGACACCATATATAAGCAAGTAAACAGTGTCAAATATGATCTGGTTTCGGTGTCTGCGATTAATCTACGTGCCAGACTAAAACCAACATATTGTCTGTTTGTTGGTAAGCACAAAGTTACTCAATGGGCTATCAGTTCTTGCCTACCACTGATATCGAAACCCGTTTTTTAGCGTTATAAACCTTCAGCCTTACTGTTGAGCTACTGAGGGTGTGGTGGTGGAACCAACAGTTAACAGAACGGGTGAATATCAAGCACTTGAATATAGACATATAACAGGCACTATGTTTTACAGTTTCGCGGCCAATACTTCCTAGAATTATATACCGTCTATCAATCTTGGTTTCAACTAAACAATAGATAGTATTCAAGCCTATAATTTATAGACAGACTGGCCTTAAGTCATTCTAAGCTATAATGAAACAGAGAAGATGGAATGTGGAAAGTGGTTGAACATACTGACCTTTACTACGTGACTATACTATGTGTATGTTAAACTGTAACATACGGAGACTGATAAACTTCTCTGCTGTTTATCAATTATCCATTAATTATGGGAGTGAAATCGAGAAACTACTTTAGAGTCAGAAGCATTTTGTATCTTGTTTTTTGCGTTTCTCAATTATTTCTTTTTTTTTGAATTTGAAAAATTGTAGTTTGAACTGTACCGCATTAGTTGAACAATGTTGAAACAAAAAGTATTAGTTGCATAGTGAAATGAAACATATTGCTCTCGAAGTTCTTTTTGGATAGGCAGTTGAGAAAATTCAAAGCCAACATATTTTTTTGTATATTTCGAAACATAATTATTGTTATCGAAGTGAAAGCTTGTTTAGGACACGATGTTTCGTCGCCTCTTGGCGTGAGATCAAACTTGCTCGAGTTTAAACAAATTTAAAGGTTTGTTTGTGTGCTTCATAATTTTCACACAAATCTACACGATCTATCTGCGCATAATCGTCTCTAATTTAGTGCTCACAGACTAGAGGGAAGGAAGCTAGTCAACGACACCGACCGCCAACTTTTGGGCTATTCATATCTGACTGAATAGTTGAATTTGAATATCACACTTATAGCGCACCTATAGTCACAAAATGCGGAAGACATTCTTGCGGCAACGAAACAAGAACTAAAAGATCCCAGTATTTACTGTACTGCTATGCTAACTTCTGGATCAGACTCGGCTCATCTTAAAAGTAACGAACGCTGTTAGTTTCAATATTAATCATAAACAAAGTTTACTCTTGAAATTCCGAAACGCAGATGATAAGCCAATCATAAGGTTCCTATCTCTATTCGTCGTTGGTTTTGATAATAATAATGAAATGAACAACTATTTCTAAAGCAGTTAACGTTATTGTTTTCACCAGAATACCACTATATAATGAACAAACTATTCTCTCAGTTAACTTAAAGCTGTCAACGTTATTGTTTTCACTAGAATATCACTATACTATGAACAAACTATTCTCTCAGTTAACTTAAAGCTGTCAACGTTATTGTTTTCACCAGATTACTATTATATAATAAACAAATTATTCTCCCACTAACTTAAAGCAGTCAACGTCATTGTTTTCACTAGAATACCACTATATAATAAACAAACTATTCTCTCAGTTAACTTAAAGCTGTCAACGTTATTGTTTTCACCAGAATACCACTACATAATAAACAAACTATTCTCCCACTAACTTAAAGCAGTCAACGTTATTGTTTTCACTAGAATATCACTATATAATGAACAAACTATTCTCTCAGTTAACTTAAAGCAGTCAACGTTATTGTTTTCACCAAAATACCACTATATAATAAACAAAATATTCTCTCAGTTAACTTAAAGCAGTCAACGTCATTGTTTTCACTAGAATACCACTATATAATAAACATAATATTCTCTCAGCTAACGTAAAGCAGTCAACGTCACTGTTTTCACCAGAATACCACTGTATAATGAACTAGAGGGTCACTCAGTAGAGCGCATATCTCCGCCATGCAGCGTTGATCGTATTCGGCCTTCAAATAATACAAAAATGTGTGCGTATGTCTATCGTTATCAACGAACACGGACCATTTTTTAGCAGAACAATTAAGAATAATATTCTACACAAGTCCATTTAGATTAATCAAAATCCGATCATTTTTGACTAAGTTATAGAGCAAAAATAGTGTGAAATATCGGTCCCCATATTAACAGATACAGATGTTTTTAGATTTTTGTGGCCTTGCTGTGACCTTTACCTTTGGCCTAGACTTTCCAAAACTAATCACTTCTTAGTTAGTTCATTGTCCAAATGTATACCAACTTTCTTTTAAATCCATTCAGCCGTTTTGAGAAATCTTGCTAACAAACACACACACACACACACGGGTGAAAACATAATCTCCGTCACCTTCGGTGGCGGAGGTAACAAACTATTCCCTCAGCTAACCTAAAGCAGTCAACGTCATTATTTTCATCAGAATACGACTATATAATAAACAAACTATTCCCTCAGCTAATCTAAAGCTGTAAACGTCATTGTTTTCATCAGAATACCACTGTATAATAAACAAACTATTCTCTCAGCTAACCAAAAGCAGTCAACGCCATTGCTTTCATCAGAATACCACTACATAATAAACAAACTATTCTCTCAGCTAACCAAAAGCAGTCAACGCCATTGCTTTCATCAGAATACCACTACATAATAAACAAACTATTCTCTCAGCTAAC